TACGCATGATCCAAACTGGAAATGACAGATTAAAAGTGGCCACTGCCTTTTGTAAAAGGCCATCTTTAAAATGGTAGTGAACGATGCACTTATTCGGTCCAAATCTCACCACACCAGCGTAATTCTCCCACAATTCTCAATGTGGAATCAGAGATGGTGGAAGTATAACACGACATTGTGGGTCTACCATTAATGCAGACATCAGATCGGTGCTGTTACCGTGTCTACTGTTGGCTTTAAAAGCGCAACAGTGTTGCATTGCTACCTCTTTCTGCCTTGCATACACTTTATGCAGAATAGGCAAAATAGTGGCACATTATTCCTGCCTTGAACAAGCTGTGTAAAAGGACTTGTTTGTTCTCTCATTCAGCTGCAGCTGCACAGGCACAAGCCGAGGAAAGGCGCAGCTTGGCGGGAAACAGCCCAGGACCTACAAATAACACACCAGCTAAACCTCAGGGGTGCAGGCCAGGTAAATGACACTACATCTATACAGATATTACCCTCTCGTGAGGTTATTGTCGTCCATAATCTGAAACATTAGATGCAACTCCCAATCCTTTTCTGCCATCCTCTCAGTGTGGCTTAATGCAGGTAAATCTTAGTCATCACCTTATTACCGTAACAGTTGACAAAGCTCATTAATGAGTCACATGCACACATCTGCCTGCCTGATACAAAGCCTTTGTTACGCTATGCTGCATTGTAATCCACCATCAAGTTATATGTGTAAGTATTCATGCACATGTTTTACCTATAAACCACATATGCACGTGTGCCTGCAGTACTTGACGGTGCCACACTTAGAACAGACGACAGACTGCGAGTGGCAAAAGAGAGACGTGAGGAGGCAGAGAGACAACAGGGTAAGAGGATAACCCCAGTTTTGGGATTAAGATATTTTAGCCAAAGAACTACAGTAAATGCTCAAATAATCTGATATTGAGTTTATTAAATGAGCAATGGTTTTATTCATTTTTAAACAAAAATACCTAACAATTGGATATAGCTGTTAGCTGCAACCCACCAATAGAAATCTTTCATTTACTTAGTTTGGTCTTACTAATATGTTTATTCAGTACAAATACAAAAAAACCAACATACTGACGAGTGATTTCTTTGTACTGCATGCTCATATTGCCAGCTTTACGAGAATCTCAGATCATGGAGCGGGAGCGCAAGGCCAAGCTGCAAGTGGAGCGTCAGATGGAAGAGCGTCAGAAAAAGGTCGAGGAACAGCGAAGGAAGGAGGAGCAGAAAAGATTGGCTGTGGAGCAGAAGAGGAAGCAGAAACAGGAAGAAGAAAAGGTAGCTTCAACACGGGTGGAAGCAGAGTAATGTGATCTACTCAGCAGCGCTCACTGCTGCTCAGCTGACATTTGTGACTAAAAGAATCTAATTTACATAAAAACACAGCTTACACTGTTTTTCTTCATATTTTTAAAGGACCATCACCGCACAGTTGAATTGTAATAGTTATGAAAGCTACAGATCATCTTCTGTTTGTTTTTGTTTTAGGTGCAAATGTTAGTCAGCTGCAAATGACTTGCATTTTTTCCCTCCTCAGGAGCATTATGAGGCAGTGATGAGGCGGACGTTGGAGCGTAGTCAGCAAGTCGAGCAGAGGCAGAAAAGATGGTCTTGGGGAGGACTGTCCACAGACTCAGATGGACGAACAGGTACTTTAGTTCGTCCTTGATAGTTCACAGTGTATTGTGTGCTACACCACAGCTGGGATGAAATTTGGCCTAAATCTGAAAGCGGTTCATTGCAGTTTTATTTTTGTTTTGTTTTTCCAGCAGCTAATGCAAACAACAGCTAAAACCAGTTGAGTCGTAGGCAGTTAGTTTACCTAAATCACAGCATTCTTGCTTGTTGTCTGATCAAAGCTCTCTCAGACGGCCTCTCAGCCCTCATTTTACCGTGTCCACCAGAAAATCAAACCCGTCCGGTATATGTGATGATAATCTGAACAGTGGGTGTCAAGCGAAGGCTGATGACTATCAGCCACGTCTAACCTTCATCTCTTTCACTTATTTGAAGGATATGTCATGATGTCATATGTTTTATCGCTCTTTCCTGAGAGCTGTCTTTTCCCACAGGAGATTCCGATGCCAGTGCCTCATCTCCAGTAACTATAGCTATCTCCTCTCCCTCACCAGAAAAGCCACCAAGGAGTCATCAAGGTTTTGTTTGTTAATATTTAAT